TGCTTCTTTTTATATTATAATAATATTAATGTGCAAGAAAACTTCGTAATGATTTTTTCCTCATGCACAGTAAAATTTTTCTTATATATGTGCATACAGAAACAGGGGAGAAGGCAAAATCTAAATTTCCCTCTTATCCTTCTTCTTCTTTTGTCTAAATTTCAAGCACGATACTCTACTCGTGCAGGATCTAGTGAAACGGGAGAGAGTTTGAATTAAGTGGGAAAGCTTTGGTAGAAATACCACACTAGGTAAGGGGAAGTTTAATTCATTCAATATATGAAATTGAATTATTGGGTACTCTATGAATACCCTGTGAATAAGGAATATGAGGAGAGATATGAATTATTTGAATGTCTGATTTTAAAGAATTTCTGATTTTGATGGATTGTTCATGGTTTGAAAGTTTTTGAAATTCTTAAAATTAAAGATGAATTATATGGTAAAATTTTTGTTTTCAACTTAAATTAGATATAATTCATGTTTAATTTCAATTTGAAACTAGTTTGGTTGCCTGAAACTTAGAAATTGGAAATTTGGAAAAATCTGGTATGGTTACTGGGCGAAGGAAGAAGAAAGGGATATGGTGGGGATTTTTTAAAAAGATTAAGGGTAAAATATCCTAGGGACATAAATGGAATTTTTGAAAATGTTCAAGGGTAAAATAGTCATTTTTAGGACATGGAAGGAATTTTTGAAAATGTCTAAGGGCAAAATAGTCATTTTTGGGACATGGAAGGAATTTTTGGAAATGTCCAAGGGTAAAATAGTCATTTAGGGACATACATGAAATTTTAAGAAAAGATTAAGGGTAAAATAGAAATTTAATGATTTCGGAAATAATTTCGGAAATAACTTTGGAAATATATATATATATATATAATATAGAATGAAAGTAGCAGTTTTAAAGAATCAACAGTGTGTTGTGACGTGTGTGGGTCAGACTGAACCTGAGGGCTGATGCCCAGAATCAATCATGAGTCGTTATATATTGGCTACATTGAGTCGGAGGGTTGGTACCTAGAATCAGTCAAATACTATTATTTATTGACCAAAATGAGCTGTGAGGACAGGTGGTTCAGAATTTGGCATATGTGAATGATTTTTGTTGTGTTTGAATTATACCCGGGGTGGTACAGAGTACATTAGTGTAATAACTATGTCGGCGGATTCTGAATGAGGTCCTAGACTTCACTGATTGGTCGGATCAGGTAGACTACAAGATCAGGTGGTGAGAAGTTGATGGGGGATGGCTGGTGGCGCGCTCGGAGGGTTACTCCAGTATGAGTGATGAAGGGCGCCAGTAATCCTACTCTGTGTGGAGGGTGGTCAGAATGGTACTACGGGTGCCGATCACAATGTTCCCACGGATGATAGCCTCGAGTTCGGGCATAGTTAGGGTATACTCCGGAAGGTGTCTTAGTGTGTTGATGATTTTGTAATTGATCATAATATATAATTATTACTTTCATATTTGTTTTATTATATCGAAAGATTTAATACTTACCCCTATTTTTCCATGTGAATGGGATCTGCGATGATCACTTTTATGTGAGAGTAGATCAGGAATTGAGAGGTGGAGATGTGACTACTTGGACAACAGGGATAGTTCGAGTAGGATAGCTTTGTGGGAACTACTTTTACATGTATAATATATAAATAAATTATGTTACTATATTTTGAGGTTCCATTAATGAACCGAAATTCCAGTCTATGTTACAATTACGGTAATATAATGTAAGATAGATGTTGTTATTTACTTATTAACTATTTTGCGAAAATATCATTATAGTAGCGATTTCTAGGATCGTTACAAAAACAGATCACAACCAAGGATGTACTTAAGATAAATTATAAATTTTTAGTATATCATGTTAAAGAGGCGGGTTTAGTAAATATTTTTTATATTTTTTATTTTAAAAATATATTTCTAATTATATAAATAGTTTTTAAATTTTAATTTATTAATTAGTATTTTTATTAAATAAATTGAAAAAATTATTATATTTATATATTAAAATAATGTATTATAATTAATAATTTAAATTTAATTAATTAATTTGAATAATTTAAATTATAATATTATAATATATTTATATATTTTAATAACATAAAAAAATATAATATTTTTAATTATAATAATTTTTAATTTTAATATATAAATATAATTTTAAAATGAGATGAATTGATGTATTAATATTAAAATTGATAGATTAGATAAAATAGAACAAAATGATTCATAAGTTAAAATTACCTATTTACCCTATTATTTTTTAAAATAAGTTAAAAAGCGGACATATTAACTCATCGAACCTAACCTATTAATAATACTTAAAATTTTATAAGATTAGATGACATTCTCATCATTTTAAAAATAACATATAATTTTATGATGTGAGAGGAAAAAATGGAAAGAAATAATATATGTTGATAAAATATTAAAAAATAATAGATATTCTTTATTCTCAAATAATAGTTGTTCATATATGTGTTTTTAATTTTAATTTGGTATATGTACATGTTTTCTTTCGTTAGACATGGACAGAACATTGAGTTTATTAGGTACAATAAAGTTCGTTGCATATTTGGGTTTACACAAAAAAATCATATTTCATTGCTTTAACAACACGGGCCTTAATCATTGGGTGGACATGACTATGTTGTGTTATGGAGTAAACTCTATAAAACAGTGTTACGTTGGATACTATAATGGGTAAGGTTTTAAGTTCTTTAGTGTAATATATATACCAAATTTTCTCCTGTTCATCAGCCTATGAATAAGAAATATCAATCCACGGATAATTTTCTCCTGTACATTGTTTAACGAAAAAACACTAAAAAATATCATATTTTTTGTAAATATATCGATAATTATTATAATTATATATATATATATATATATATATATATATATATAATTTGTTATTAGATTAATTCATTTTATATATACTAATGAAAATATATAATTAATTTTAAAAAAATTATTTTATTTTTAATCCTCACTTTTTTAATATTTTTTCTTTATTAATTATGTTTCTTTTTTCTTATATATATATATATATATATATATATATTTTAAATATATAAATCATAATAATTATTTTTTCTTATTTGAATTATAATAATTATTTTATAAAAATTATAAATTATGATATTTTTATTTTTTCTCAATAACATAAAAAGGGTTAAAAAATCAATTATATATTATATATAGTTATATAGATTTTATATTGTTTATTATAATTATTTTTATATAAACATTTTTAATCTTATCATAGGGAGGTCGGGATTAAATTCTTTGAATTGAGTCAACTTGATAAATCTAGATGTAACTTTTTATATCTTGAATTAGAATCTTTTAAGTTATATTAAAAGATACTATGTATAATTTATCTCATATACAAGTAATATTTTTTATATTATTTTGATAAATAAATTATTAACAAATATTTTTTTCAAAATCCAAAATAATATGAATTTGAAATATTTAATATATATCTGACTTAATATATTATTTTAAAGTAAAAATTTTAAACGGTTTTTTTAACCATCTTTTTCATACACATGGATTATAATCAATCATTTGAAATAATATTTAAAAAAACTCAATTATCATCTAACTGTATTAGATTTTGTTGATTTGTTTAATACCCATTATTTTTATCAAATATACTATTTAAGAAATACAGTCTTATTTTAGTTACATGTTATATATATTTGGTGATGCGAGGCACAAATCTTCTATAAACTTGTTAATTAGGAGGACAATTACTCTCTATTTTCTTCTTTACAAAATTTAAATGAAAAAATTGAGAAAAAAATGAAATCCTCTGAAACAACAAATTTCTATGTATATGATTAATCATATTTTTTAACGATTAAGATTCATCTTACATATAAAACCTCATTAGTTTTAATACAGTTCTCGTAATTTGAGATAGAAAGCGCGTAATTCTATGTCACGCTTCTCCCCTGAAATTGCATTTTAAATTTTGACAAAAGGGAATACGACTAATTTTGATATATATATTAATAATTATTTTAGTAATACAATAATATAATAATATTAAATTAAAATAATCCTTTTTATAAACCCATGCACCTAATCTGATAAAGCATTAATTATTAAGTAAATATTAAAGTAAATATATGCTTTCTGAATAAGTAATGAAGAGCAAAGGAAGAAGAAAAGACTAAGCTGAAAGCAACCTAATTAATTAATCCCTAAGATGTCGATGGTTAAGCATATAGGTTGATTGATTATACAAATGTACCTTATTGGTGGTTGATTTTTATTCAAAGAAAAGAAAACGACAAATTCAACGTCAACTACAACATACTTTTAACAGTTTTGTAATGTACATGAACACAATGTACATGAACACAAGCTGTCAATCAATTATAAAACAAATACATATTTTAGATTGTTAAAAAAGAAAGATGAAATGCCCTTTTCACTATGATAATTCATAGATAATTTTTAATAAAAAATTTCTACTTTTATCTCATTGTTATAAAACATAGTCATATGCCTTATTAGCCAAGTCCTGTTCAGAAGCTTGGAAGGCATCGCTGTATTTATCCGAACACTCCTTCAATTAGAGGGGATCTTTACGGGGAATTACGGATTGTGGTCTCTTAAAATTTTAAAATTTTTATCTAATTTATGATTTTAGTCTTTTAAATATAATAAATATTTAATATATTTACTTATATAATTATAATTTTATCTTTTTAGTTCCTTTTTAATTTTATAATTCTTATATAATTTATGATTTTATTTTTTGTTAACTTAATTATTTATTTTTTTAAAACTTAATTATATATTTATTATTTTATTTTATTTTATTTTATTTATTAATAATATATTATTTAACTCTTAAAATCAATAATAAAAATAAGGAGATTTAGTATTTTTGGTCGAGTCCTTAGCAGTACCAAACAAGTGAGAGGACAGATAGAGAGAAGTAGAGGTGACATTGGTCATTTCAATCCCAACCATGATCACAGCCAAGCCCTTGGGGTCTGCGTTGCTGTTGCTTGGTCGGATTTCAAGGAGGAGAAACATAGATCGTAATACTTGGCGTTCTTGCAGGTTTTCTTTATCAAAGTAGCATCTCCTTTCACAAATGGTTCTGATGTGCTAGCAAGAGGAGAAATAAAAATATCTTACAAGCCATTATGCTCTACAAAAAGAACCTAGTAAGGAATCATCGTCAACCATCTAAAAGTATATTTATAAGTGAACAAAGTTTAGAAGTTATTTTATATATCAATAGACTTCTCTATTTTCCAATGCAAGCTGTTAACGTTGTAACGATAATCGATGCAAAAAAGTCAAGAAACAGTGTTCGGAAACGCGTTTACGTTGAGTTTGTCTTCCGTTTCAAGAATTAGTAATTTACCGGAATTTGGGCTTGAAGTCAGAGGACAAATTCTTGCAATAGTCCATGTAGGACTCATGTCACGTAGCTCTAATATTCATGAGTTGGCCCATGTTCTTGTGATAAACTAGGAATATCTCGTAACATTACTAGTAAGTTATTGTTGGTTAATAATAAGCAATAATGTATGTATCTTTGCAATGCACAAGTTGTGTAAAAGTGTACCGTTTTCCTATTGTACTACCGATGGTGCAGACCTTTCTCGACGAGGCTTTGTTGGTTTTCTAGCAAAAATCAAGAGCTCAAAGTCACGGGTCACAACCAAGAAGAATCTAAACTCTCAATTCCACATGAACGTTGCATTCACTACATGAAGAGCCAAATTCAATCACCAATTATTGGGATCTTCTAGATTTTGCTCACCTCAAAGGGGAACGAATCTTTGCAGTTGGTCTACTTTTTGTCAGAAGATTTTCAGTTTTTTTTTTTTTTTTAAAGTTCAATAATCCAAATTTTGTTGTCATTATAATATAAGAGGATTAATAAGCTGAATAGAAGAGGTAAGTAATCTTATAATTAAATAAAATTAACTACTTTCATGTTAATTAGAATTAGTATTTAATTGAAGAAAAAATAATTTTAAAAAAATAATATTAAATACAACTTAAAAAATTAAAATTCACTTGTATCACTTACTTTGTTTTTTTAAATAAATTTAATACAAAGTCAATTTTAAACGAAGAATCGATCGACTTGTTATACATTGTAATTTTTTGTAACAATTGCGAGAAATTTATAATGAGTAATTTACTTTAATAAAATATTTAAAATGCCTTATGAAAAAACTATTTATTTGCATAAATAATCTAAAAATAATTCAAATTATAAAAATTAATGAGGTATTTTTTATTAATTAAAATAAGAGAATTTTAATTTTTATTAAAAAATTATCTTTCTTTCTCAAATTTATGTCTCTTATATTTATATATTTTTTAACTCAATATTGATTAAAATATTTTTTACTCATTTCGACCTATTTTAACATGATTAATCTTACACGACAAAAATAAACATAATTTAACCGACTCGACTCATATTAACTTAGTTCAAACTTATCTAATATATTTTTACTATACTTAAATCATTTTGATTTCCATTTTGTATTTGTCTAACCCAACCTATTTATTTTGATTTAATCCAACCATTTCAATCTAACATATTCTATCTTCATCTAATCCTGATTAATTAAGTTATTCAAAATAGGTCAAACTTACCTTAACTCAATTTATCCCAACTTAACTCATTTTTGACATAATTTATTTCGATTTGGCTTCTCCAACCTAACACATCTTTTTTTGTGTAATCCAACTTATCTTATATTGATATATCTTATTAGGTTACGACTAGACTTAGTTCATCTTAACTTAAATAAAGTCAATATAATTTGATTTATCGTAGTTAAGTCTGATTAATCATAATCTAACTCATCTCAAAGTGTTAACTTAACTTTAACTTGACTTGTTTTAGTCTTTTTAACCTAATATAAATTGTATTGACTAGGCTTGACTGTAAAAATTTTATCTATCTCAATTTGACTTGATTCAAATTAGTTTGTCGTCTCAATCAAAATCGACTAATGTGAATAAGGGCAAGGGTGAAGTAAATGAATTTTAACTATAATGATAATTTTGATATTTAATAATAATTAAAATATTTTATTGAAATAAAAAATTAAAAATCAATAAATTTGAATTATCTTATATGAATAAATTATTTTTAAAATCGAAGAAAAATTAAATTTAATATATTTAAATTTCTTATAAATTATAAAATATTTTTCCCCTACCTCATTTATTTCATTGAGATAGGTTGTTGTTGGCTTATAAAATATTTTTCCCATACCACTTATTTCATTTATCCTCGAAGCTAGTTTCTAATCCAACCATGTCATTACTTTTTACTTCGTTTAAAAATTGTTTTCAATTTATAACTTTTGCATTGCAGTTAATCTTAAAACATAGCACCTCATTTATTGTTCCTTTGGTTTCAAAGATGAAGCTGGAGAAAACAAAAGCTATAAAAGGGATAATTAATTTCTTAAATAATATATTTAAAATAAAAAAATTTAAATTAAATTTTTATAAATTTATTTACTCAATTAAACCAGTTTATTATTCATATATAAAATTCAATAATATTATTTTTATATAATACAACTATTTTCTTCAATATTTTTTTTTATTTTTCTTTCTTTATTATTTTTTCTCTGTCCTCATATTTTTTTCTCTTTCTTTATTCTTTTATCGTTCATCTAATTCTTTTAATTAAAAATACTAAATTAAAATTTGATAAAATAAATCTTTTATTAATTTTAAAATAAAAACATTAAGTTATTTAAAATTATTATAATTTAATATATTATATTTAAAATTATAGATATTATAAATTGTTATGCTATAATTGTTAAGAAAAAAATCAAATATTTATTTTAAAGTAATGTTTAAATAAATATGTTTTTAAAATTACTTAAGATGACTAATGTTTATAAGAGGTAGAGGGTTGTTGCAGAGAGAATCATCATCTCCTCCCCAAGGCAGCTTGTTATTAATATGTAATGACAAATATAATAAATATTATTTTTATTATTTAAATTAATAAAATAATATTTTTATTCCAAAATTATGACATTGATAAATTTTATTGTGGTGTTCTAACTACTTAAAACTTGAGAAATATTCAAAGTTTTATAAATTATATTTATTATTCATATGATATATAAAATTTTATGAAATGATTTATTATTTTTCTATTATTTCTATTAACATAATTACACACGTCTTATATATAAAAACTAAGTATAATATTACTTATTTATTTGATGAAAGTATTAACAGAGTTTTATTTATCTCTTAGTAAAAATAGTTATATATATATATATATATATATATATATATATTAATTGAATTATAGTTTCTTTTTAAAAAAGCTATTAAAATTAATATAAAAATTTAATTTTTATAAATATAAATATGATTAAATAAAAAATAATATTTTAAAAATATTAAATTATATAATTAATTAATTTTTTTAATGTTTATATTTTATAAACATATTAAATTAACTATTCCCATTGAAAATCATAATTAATAAATTTTATTAAATAAAATATAAATATAATTTTTGTTTAAAATTTGTACACAAAATTGGAGAGACCTGATCAAAATCATACTAATAATATCAACACTACTTATAAGTAGGAAAAGATAGTGTAAAATTGATAATTCAGTTAAACAAGAATTTAGACATGTATTCTATTGGTTAGGTAATTAATTTTGCGTGTTGAAAACAGAGACTATTGATCAGAATATTATATTTTTTCTTATTTGTTTCTACTATAAATAGTGATAAGCATTTTTTTTTTTAGAATTGAAACCATCTTTAAATAAAAATATATAAGATTTGTTTCCTAATAATATCTATTGTTCAATAGTAAAATTTTATATATTAAATTATAAATTTATTATTAGTACTATTTCAAGTTAATTTTAATATTATTATAAAAATATAAAATTTGTTAAATAAAAATAATAATTTATTATTAAAATAATGTGTCAGCCGTTACAATAAGTTTATGCTAATTTCTATAATATAAATCAAATATTAGATATGAGAGAGAAACTGGGACAAGAGACAAAAATAATCTCAACATTGTAAGAGGTACAGGGTTGTTGGAGAGAGATTCATCATCTCTTCTTCAAGACAGCACCATTCAATCTTCTATTAATTCATTATTTTCAAGTTTTGCTGTCTGAGTGTGGATTGTCTTTATTAATTCACTTCCAACTATTTCCATCCAACCAAATATTTCTTTTAGACGTCTTCCCCATTTACGCGGTAAGTTATTGTTTTTTTTTTTTTACTTTTATTTATATTTTTATTTTCAACATTGATGAGATGACACGTCCCAAAAAGTTTGCTTGTTGGTGGGTTATTCCTTGTTTCTTCGTTATTATGGTTTTGATTCACTGTCAACTTTACAATTCAGCTCAAGTATTATCTGCGAGGAAGATCTTGTTTGGACAGAAGATGGTGAGAAGATTTGGTATGAAAATGAGAGACTCTGAAGTCATATTTCAACTCATGAGTTTCAATTGTTTTTATTTTACATCATAAGGTATATATATATTTTCTGCTTCTTCGCATGTGTGATAGTTGAGAGGGGTTTTATGTGCAGAAATATAGGTCTTGCCTCTTCCAAAGCGACATTGTATTCCTATATAGCAATGGAAAGTGTATGGGGCCTATATAAATTATGCTTCAAAGTTTACCTTGGACTGATTAGCTTGTGGGGAACCCAACATTGTTTTTCTCTCAACTATGAAGGTGATTTGCATGATTTAGTCTCTTAATTTACAGTTAATCATTTTATGCATTTATTGTATCTTAATGTTTGATTATTGTTATTGCATTTGAAATTAACATTACAGGATTATCCTTGTTAGAATTTCGGAGAAGAATAACTTCGGATCCCTTCAATGTTCTAATAGATTGGAATTCAAATGATTGTAATCCATGCAACTGGTTTGGTGTCAGTTGTTTTCACAATAGAGTAGAAACACTGTAAGTCTCTTATAATTTTTTTTTTATTTTTTATTATTTATATTTTTGTCAAAGAAATCTACACATGTAATGATATATTTGATGCCTAAAAAAGACGATCATCTGACGTGAGTGCAGCAATTTGTGATGCTTGTATGATTTGTGCGTTCTCATTACTTTTTATAGGGTCCTAGATCAACTATCTTTGGAAGGGACATTGGCTCCAGAACTTGGGAAACTTAGTCATCTAAAATCTCTGTAAGATTCTTGATCAACTTAACATGTCATTGAAAATACGGCTATTTTTGATAGGTTTAAAGAGTACAATTCATTGGACTTAATATTGTATTTCATAATAGAATGTATTTTAATTAAAACAAATCGTTTGCTTATTTGGAACAGTGTATTATACAATAACAAATTTGCTGGTGTCATTCCCAAAGAACTTGGAGATTTAACCAAGATAGAATTATTAGATTTAAGGGGAAATAACATGACTGGATGTATCCCACCAGAAATTGGACCGGTGTTGTTGTCAGAACAATTGTAAGTTAACTATTTGTTTGTTTGGTTGCATTTCAGTGTACCTACAATAAAATTTTATTTTTTGTATAGGTTCGTCTGTGACAAGAATTGCAGAGATAGTAATTATGAAGAGATGACAAAGATTAGAAAGTTTGCATATGGGTACCTTCATGTTTTATTTCCTTCCGTTTGACTTAAAAGTTATTGAGTTATAAAATCTCTGTTAAAAATTTTTTAGCTTTTAGACAATGAGAGAAAAATGATTTTCATGAAGTCACTAAATAAATTCCAAACTTTTTGAAATGCTGATACTTAGTCTAGGAATCGTTACGAAATATATAAATGATTTGACAAAATGATGATTTTTTTTAATGATGTCATTATTTAATTGGTTTAAAATCTGAGATCACAATTGTCAATCATTAATTTTCTGTTTAGGTAGAGTTTGTCTATACTGTCTTTCATATATACAGATATCATTCTGAACTTTGTCATAACACTGTCACACAACTGTATAGATAACTTTGCCATATGATTATGCATATATATATATATATATATATATATATATATATATATATATATATAATTTTTTTTGTCTAAAATACTATATTATTATTTGTAGGTTCAAATTAAGAAAGGTTAACGCTCCTGCTAATGAAGAAAAATGGTGTGACAATTTGACTAGTGAGTGAAAACCTTATCTAATCTGAAATTTTGACAGAGTTTTTTTCACTTTTAACCCATACCTTTATTGTGTAGGTTTTGATGAAAAAGATATTAACCAGAACTTAATAAATCTAGTCAATTTACGACGCAAGTTGCTTGATCAGTCAAGTAATCTTGCAGCTGCACCTTTCAGTGATGGACCTACTATACAAATCACCCCTATTCCAATTACTCAGAGCAGTGGAGCTTTCCCAGCTTTTCGTGAGAGACAGATATCTGCACAATATCCTTCTCCTTCTACTTTTCCATTTGTGGATCAAACAATTCCACAAAATTCAACTAATGGTGCTAATGGAAGATTATGGAAGTATACTATTATAGCAGCAGGATTAGCGGTCTTGTTCAGTGTTGTTTTAATCATGCTTCTTATCTGGCGAAAACGAGCCGCTAAAGTAATAAAACCATGGAAATCAGGAATAAGTGGAGAACTGCAGAAAGCATTTATAACAGGTATTATCTCAATAAATGGAAGAAACATTTGTATTGAATTGTAAATTAAATTTAAAAACTTAATTTAAGATAATGTCCTGTTTTTTTTTGGACAGATAACGTGTTGAAGGTTTCGATTAAAAACTTAAACAAATCTAAACTCAAATTATTTTTAAATGAATCTTGCTTCTGCCACTTAGTAATTATTAGCATCGAATTATATTTTACTATTTGGTTTCATGTCGTAAATAAGACCATAAAAAGAAACTAATGTTTAACATATTCTCCTTGTATGTAATGTAGGTGTTCCCAAGTTGAATTTGGCAGAGTTGGAGACAGCATGTGAAGATTTTAGCAATATTATTAATAGTTTTGAAGGATGTACAATATACAAAGGAACACTATCTAGTGGGGTTGAGATTGCAGTTCATTCAACCATTCTTACTTCAGCCAGTTATTGGTCGAAGAACATGGAGATGGCTTATCGCAAGAAGGTTTTCACAGCAAAATTTGAATTGGAATCCCAACACAATTTAGGAGTAACTTTCAATCCTTAATTTGCTGTTGCTAATTGTGTTGCTGTATTTCTTTTCAGATTGCTACCTTATCCCGTCTTAACCATAAGAACTTTACCAATCTTATTGGCTACTGTGACGAAGAACAACCTTTTAAAAGAATGATGGTATTTGATTATGATTCGAATGGAAGCTTATTTGAACATTTGCATGGTAACTACATCCTTTAAATAATTATTATCTTATACATAGTAAATCTGATATACATATTTATTGTCTCTTCAGTTAAAGAAGCTGAACATCTTGATTGGGATACAAGAATGAGAGTTATTATGGGGACGGTTTATTGTCTTCATTACATGCACCATGATCTGAATCCACCTGTAGCTCATTCCAATCTTACATCAATTTCAATATTATTAACAGATGACTTTGCTGCTAAGGTATTCACATTTCAATCTTGGTTCTTATTTTTTTACGTATTAGGTATTCAGTCACATGTCTCTATTTTGTTTGTTATCAGATATCAGAATTTGCTTTTGACAGGAGAGTATTACACTGTGCTGCTGCAGATGAGTCACATAAAGCTGAGTTGCCACCTCATCCTGATCCTGAAACCGATGTCTATAATTTTGGAGTGTTATTGCTTGAAATCATTTCTGGAAAACTACCTTACTCTGAACAAGAAGGCCATCTTGTTAATTGGGTAAATTTGAAATCTGTCACCTCCTAAAACTGCATTAGTATATTTTAGTATATTTACTTTGACTTCTGCAAATCCATTAGTCGTGTATGCGACTGAACAAAACAAATACGGATGAATTTTACAGGCTGTTGAGCACTTGAATGATAAACAAAGCGCCAAAAATATGATCGATCCTTCCCTAGAGTCTTTCAAAGAAGAAGATCTTGATGTCATATGTGAGGTGATCAAAGCATGTCTTCAATCTGATGGAAGGTTAAGACCAACAATGATGGACCTAACTCTCAGATTGAGGGAAGTACTCCATGTATCACCTGAACAAGCTGTTCCAAGACTTTCTCCTCTATGGTGGGCTGAATTGGAAATCTTGTCATTGGAGACCACGTAAACATCTAATCGAGGCTCAGTCCTGTACTATAGGTCAAATCTTTTAAACGTTTAACATGCAGTCACACAAAAAAAAATGTTCAAATTCTTTAATTAATTTGATTTGTTCTATCATCAATATCATATCAATTCTTTATGTTATAGATAGATTTTAGTTTTGACTTATGATATGTTGTAAATTATATTTTTTTAATGAAAATTGAAACGTGAAAAAAATGTAAAAAATATTGACAATATAATATTTCAGTCTCGATATTATTAATTCTAAAGCACAACTACTAAAAAGTTTGAAGAAAAAAATTAAACATTATAACTTAAATGAGGAATACTACAAGAAAATTGGAGGTTCACTAAGATAATTGTCACTAATAGGTTTCGAACCCAATATTTTAGAGTTAAAAGCTGATATTCTAACCACTAGGTTACTAAATTTTTCTAATAATAATTTACAAATATATTATATTTATATATAAATAAATATATATCCGTGTAAATATATAAATATAAAATATATAAATACAAATATATGTATATATTTTGATATATATATATATATATATATATATATATATATATATATATTAGATGTGAGGACGCGTTGGTGAAAGTGTGTGTCATGTTTATTAGAATATATTTAAAATTAAGTAATTATTATATAATTATAAATATTTAATTTTTTTAATTTAATATTAATTTTTAAAAATATATTTTAAATCTGTCAGCTAAATTAGTTGGTAAATCTATCGGTAAATGAACAAATAATTACAGACGGATATATCCGTCGGTAATTATTTGTTTATTGACCAATAGATTTATCGACGGATATATCCGTCGATAATTAATTATTTATTTACTGGACGGATTTATCGATGGATTTATCCATCGGTAATTAATTGTTCATTTACCGACGGATATATCCGTCGGTAAGACTAAATTCCACGACTACTCTATACCCGTTGGTAATTTCTATCGATAATTATTTATTTTCCGATGGATACATATCCGTTGATAAATATCATTAATAATATAAGATTTTCTTATAGTGGAAGGTTATGTGATTACACGTATTTTAACCTTTTAACTCTTAATAAAATTACATAATGTTAACGAGAACTTTACATTGTTTATTCAGTTCTTGTATTCCATATTGACTTTAGGTAAATATATATATATATAACAAATAAAATATGATTTTTATGTAATAAGGTTTGTCGAATTTGTATTATATTAAAATATATAATTTATTATGTGTATAGCACCCACACAGTCAACAAGATACAATATTCATATAATTCCAAAGTCTTGATGGGCATACCTGTTATAGTCTCACAGGACCACGTCCAGTGCACCCACACTATCGCTTAGCTATAGCAGACATAGGCATACCTGTTATAGTCTCGCAGCTAGGACTACGTCCATTGCACCCACACTATCGCTTAGCTACAGCAGACATGTCCACACTAGTTTGTTATTAGACTTCTTCGATAGGGTGGTGAATAGGAACACCAAGACAAGACCAAGATCAAAAGTCTATTAAGGTTCAAGCACAATATTAGTATAAATAAGATATGAAGTATCAATTCAAAGATAATGAAACAATAGTAAAAATTGTTTAATACTATCATTTGGGTGTTGAAGTATCTTTTATTGGCACGTCAACCACGTCTTGAACTCGGAGGCTCAAACATGTCGGATACGTTTAATAATTTAGAACAAGCCTTGAATGAGATTAGAAATGTATAAGTGGAGATTGATCTTTTGAAACGTTATCGATCTTATAAGAACATTATAATATTTTTTCCTAACTCAATATGATATAATGTTGTTTTACTTGCTCAATGAAGAATGATGTATATGATTCAAAATAGATTTGAAAAGTAATTATTTTTTCAATTTTCCATTATTTTAATTTAAAAAACTTATAATAACAAGTTGAAAGACCTCATCATTAATATAATACACTGTTAAATAATACATCATTAAAATATATATCAAGATGATTTATTTATTTTTATTTAACGTATAAAATTATGTAAGATTGGACCCGTATCATAATTTTTTTTTATCACTGTCAAAACCGGCCCAATTCTCCACTGTGTATGCCATGCGCTTGAATAAAATATTCAAGCTCTTCTCCACCAAACATGACACACCAACATTTGTCCAGAAGCTACGCGAGAGAGAAAAGTCAAGGTTATTCACCTTTGTGCTAGGGTTCAGAAACCCAATGCTTCCACTGTTCAATCTCACTTTTTCACCGTCACAATACCAGATAAGTGTATCTCACTCACTCTCTTCGTTCTCTATCTTTTGTACACACGTATAACACTCAATATTATATAATTTTTAGTGTTGTTCTATATATAAACTTAAGCTCTATATATTTTTTATTATATGAATCAAAGTTATGTATACTCTTATATAGGAGAGTATCCCATTGTTTACGTTACAAACGGTTAAACAGAAAACTGAACATATAAAAGCTAGGGTTGGAATTAATTTCAACATTCCCCCTTAATTCCAACATTGTAAACTCCTATTCTTTCTCTGAGCATCTTGAACCTCTCTTTCTTCAAAGGTTTGGTCAAGATATCAGCTATCTGTAGTTGTGTAAGGCAATAAGTCAACTTCAACTTTCCATTGTTCACCTGATCTCTTATGTAGTGAAATCAAGTCTCAATGTGTTTACTTCTCCCGTGTGAAACTGGGTTGTTGACCAGATCTATTGCTGACTTGTTGTCCACCAAAAGTTCAATAGGTTTTTCCAAATCAATTCCCATTTCCTCCATAACTGAGTTTAGCCAAACAGCTTGACAAGTTGTACTTGAACCTGTAATGTATTCAACCTCATATATGCACATCAACACTAAATCAGAGTTCCTACCACACTTCACATACACTCCATGTTCTACTGAACATTTTTTAACTTCATGACTTACCATAAATAAGTTAATTCTTTTGTTCCAGGCCCTGGGTGCCTGCTTAAGGCCATAAAGAGCCTACTTCAGCCGATACACCTTATCCTTTTCTCCTTTCTTCTCAAAACTAGGAGGTTGAGTAACATATACTTCCTCCTCAAGTGGTCCGTTTAAGAATGATGATTTGACATCCATTTGGAACATAGGCCACTTCCTCCCATTAGCTAATGCCACTACAGCTCGAATTGTTTCAATTCTTGCCACAAGGGCAAAAACTTCAGTGTAATCCAACCCTTTCTTCTGTAAAAAACCTCTAACCACCAATCTTGCTTTCCTTTTATCAATACTACCATTTGGATTTAGTTTCAACTTGAATATCCATTTTAAGTCTATACATGACTTGTTGTTAGGCAAATCTGTCAACTCCCAGGTTTTGGTTCTTTCAATAACACTCAACTCCTCTAACATAACTTTCTTCCATTTCTCTTCTTTCATGGCTTCCTCATAACCAATTGGTTCAGCTTCTGCCATTAATGCAAAGTGAACTAGATTTGTTTTGACTAGGGACCTTGGTGGCCTACGTTGCCTACCACCTCTATGTAATTATGGCTCCATATTCTGATTTATTTCATCAGAGATTTCAATTTCCACTTCTATAACTGCTCTCTCATCTTTAAAATATTCCACTTTTCTTTGTTTTGACTCTTCCTTCTTCTCACTCCAATCCCAACTTCCTTCTTCATCAACCGCAACATCTCTGCTTATACAGATTTGGTTGTTCTCAGGATTATATAATCTATATGCTTCTATAGAATGATATCCAACTAGGATCATGGCTTCACTCTTGTCTGCCAGTTTTGTTCTCTTAGCATCTGACACGTGTTTGTAGCATCTTGATCCAAATATTTTCAAATGCTTAACTCCTGGCCTAATACTACTCCAAACTTTCTCTAAAACTTTGTTTTCCAACTTTTGTGTAGGACACTTGTTTAGTAAATAGACAGCTGTTGAAACAACTTCCCGTTATAATGAGTGAGGAAACTGTTTTTGCTTTATCATGCTCCTAACCATGTTTAATATCATTCTGTTTCTTATTTCTGTCATTCCATATGTTGTGGAGTGTGATGTTGTAACTTCATGTTGCACACCATTTTCACTGCAATAAGTCTCAAATTTATTGGACAAATACTCCTTTCCTCCATCTGTTCTCAAAGTTTGTAACAGTTTCCCACTTTGTTTCTCTGTCATCAATTTAAACCTTTTGAAAACAGAGAACACCTCTGACTTTGCTTTTATTAGATACAACTAGATCATTCTGTTGTATTCATCAATAAATGTGACAAAATATTTATTTTGTTCAAGTGACAACTCTTCGAATGGTCCACAAACATTAGAATAAACCACATGTAGCAAACCCTTTGCTCTCATGTGCATCTGCTTCTTGAAAGCATTACTGGGCTGTTTGCCCACCAAACACCCTTCACAAACCTTCCCTGGAACAATTAGTGTCTCAGGCAATCCAATCACCATCCCTCTATCTGCCAATTTCTTCAAACTAAGGAAATTTAGGTGCCCATACCTCCTATGTCATAGCCAACTTACCTCCTCTATTGTAGTTGCCTTTAGACATTGATTTTCTATCAGTATAAGCCTTGTCTGAAATGTCCTGTTTTTTGCTAAGGGCGATTTCAGCACAAGTCTTTTCCTAGCATCATAAACTTTCAACACCTCTTCCTTCATGGAGACTGAAAACCCTTTCTGCACCAGTTGTCCTACACTCAACATGTTGCATTTCATTCCTGGTACATATAAAACATCCTCAATCACCATGATTTCTCTCCCATCTTTCTTAATCACCACATTTCCTACTCCTTCGGCCTTGATCACATTGTCATCTGCCAGCTTTATCTTGCTGGGTCTACTAGTGTCTATGTTGAACATCCATTCTCTATGTCTAGTCATATGGTTAGAACATCCAATATCAAGAAACTAGTTTTCTTGTCTAAATTCCTCTTCATTGGTAGTTACCATTAATACCACAGGTTCCTCCTCATAATCATCTTGAGCCACATGTGCTTTAGCA